TTTATGAGGTGAGATCTAAGGCCATGACTTACACAACTCGTTACAAAACAATTTGTGGATTAAAATTTCAGTATAAGTAGAAGTACAGTACATACTTATAATGTTTCTTTCCATAAAAACACAATCAGTATTATTATATATGTTCCTTAGTGCTACTCAGATAATAAACAGTCTTAGATCTTTTTTATATTAACTAAATACATGTATAATAATTCAAAGGCCTTGTTTGTTTTCCATAAAAAAAAACTCTTATCAGCCCCTTATGTCTGAATCTTTAAGAGGTAATGTCATTCAGACTGTTTGTTTTTCCCAATTTTTCAAAGGTGCTTATGTCTTATTTTCCTCTTATCTGGTAAAAGGTAAACCAACCTCTTATTTGCCTCTTATAGTTCTTCAAATCCTCAACAACGACGTTTTTCAATCTATTAACATTAGTCGATCATTTCTCTCAATAGATCCTCACCAAATCAATTTTCATTTCTCTCAATTAATGCATGTGTAATAGGATAATGTGTTAAACACCGTTAATGACATATTTACGTTTAAATGAATGTTAATTAGATAATTTAGATGTAAAATACGTAACGATGATGAATAAATATGTAAAATTGTTTAATTTTATCTAAAAATTCAACACTACAATTTTTAATAGATAAAACGGACAATTTAAACAAATTCAGATGTTTATCAGTTTACAAAAACAAACAGTCTTATTGATTCAGATTTCAGACTTCAGCACCACCTCCTTATAAATCAGAAGTAAATAAGTCTTCAACACCTCTTAAAAAACAAACACCACATAACACAGATACAAAATTTCTTAGACTTCATTGTGGGGTTTTACCATACTTTGCTAGATTTTCCTAATTAAGTTGCACTAACTTTTGCATTTTGGGTATATTTCCATTTATTTGGCTAGAAATATTGTTCTCAATAGATTAGGTTTCTTTTGACTTGTAAAACCTTGAAATTTATTTTTACTATAATAAAGAAAGTGCCAAAATTAGGAGAAATGCAAATAAAGAGTGTGACCCTATTTTCTTAATTGTTTAAGACGTAATCCTTAGGGGCTGTTTATCTAAATGCTTATCCGGTAAGTGCTTAATGTTAGAAGTCAATACTATAATTTATTTTATTGGGTAACATTGTAGTACATCAAAACGTATCATATGCAACAATTTACTTGGTAAGTGCTTACTCAGGTAAGAGTCGTCACCCTCACTTACCGGGTAAGACTTTCCATCCTTATCATCGCTCTTAACGGGTAAGATTCTTGGCCCTTGCCATGTTCATCCGGTGAGAAAAATTACCCGGTCAGTACTTACCAGGTAAGTGTTTAGTAAACGACCCCTTAATCAGTTTTTATAATACTTGATAAAATACTTAAAATTTATTACAAGATTTTTGTGGAGTTTTTTGAGAGAATATTTAAGATGGAATAGCATAACTTTTATTTAAATTTAAATCCATGCATTTGTTTTCAAAATCTTGTGAGGGTAAAACCAGGATTTGTGATAACTGGGTTCCAGTTATATGATTTGGGGTGGTTTTTAAAAGTCTTGGTAAGTAAAGAATTTTATTTTTTTTAATGTGTGATTGCCTGCCTATATTTTATTTCACTGCCTTAAAATTGTTATGTGTATAAGATATGTATTATATCTCATGAGGGAATGTGAGAATTGAGTTCTAAAATATTAAAAATTCCACCGCCTATTTTAGGCATATAAAAGTGAGAAAATAAGATTTATCTTATCTATCTTTTATGTTTTGAGAGAAAAAGGAAAGGAGAGAAAAGTTGTTGTGTGTGTGAATCTGTTTGAAGTTGCTACTGTTATATTATCTGGAAAATTGTTGCTGAGATTTCATCCTTGTATACGTGCATATAAGGTGAGTTTTGTTATTAAATTTTATATGTTTAGTATTTGAAATACTTGAACTGGTCGGTGTTTATGTGGAAGAAAGGTAAACTGTTCTTAAAGTTGTTTTGAGTTGAGAAAGGTAAATTGTTATTGAAAGTTGTTTTGAGTTGATAATGAAACTGGGTTTCAAACTATCAAAGTTCTTAATATGAAGTTTCTCTGATGAAACTGTTTTGAGATCATTATTGGCAAAAAAAAAAATGACAGATTTGATTACATTTTATGAGGGATTAAGGTGACATATCAAGGAGATGTGTACCATGAGATAAGAATGACATATCAAGGAGAGGTGTACCATGAGATAAGGGTGACAATATCAAGGAGATGTGTATCATGGATAAGGGTGTCAATTGTGAAATCTGAGTTTTGATCATAACTCTTGTTATCGCATCCATGAGATACAATGATTATGAGTTATCATTTATGTGTGATGTGAAGACTTGGAATTATTGCTCTTATTGATATGATAACAATAATGTTGTGCAGAGGAGGAAAATGGCTTACAGCCAGAGTCTTTAATTGCATGTATTTTGGATAAAACAATGTTTTTGGGATATTGTATATTATACTTCAACTTGTTCAAAAGGGTAAAGATTTGATGAGAACCCACAGGGGCTCTGATTGGTCAAATGTTTTATATATTTTTGACCTAGAGGCTCTGTGTGTACTATGCAAAGGCTCTGTGTCTGGAAATGCAATGACAAGTCTAAGCTATGTGTCTGAGCTCTGTATCAAAAACTTGTTGGACTTGTATCTCTTTCAAACCTGTTTCTTTATTTACATTTAGAACCTAGAGCTTAGCTCAACCAAAAGGGGTTCTGAAGAACCTCGGTTGGCTTGGTCTCTAGGCGAATTATTCAAATTATTTGTTAAAGTTTTTGAGAAAATATTCGAATATTTGGTAGAAGATCAGAGAGATTCTAGTTGACCTTTATGTTTAACTAGAAGGCCTCTGGTTATATTTAAAACCTAAATCTTTTAAGTTTAACTCAATTCTTATTTTCATAAGCTTTAGCCAATGACCAAGAGATCTGGTTGGTCGTTTATCCTTGGGTTTTAAAGATTGAAACCAAGAGCTCTGGTTGGTTGCATATCCTTGTATATTTTAAAAGTTGAGATCAGAAGCTCTGGTTGGTATGACCAGAGGCTCTGGTCGACTAGAGAAGCTCTGGTTGGTTTGACTCGGGATTTATTTTCTTAAGTTAAATAACTAGAGGAGCTCTGGTTGAGCATATTATGTGTTTAAATCATTTTCAAGTTGATCTAGACTTCATGATTAAGTCTTCAATGAATTTGTTTTGATTGGCTTTGCTCTGGATTAAGAGCCAGAGGAGCTCTGGGTGATCCCGCATAGTATGATGCGAGGACTTCAAGAATCTCGCACATAGTGATGCGAGGACCTAGTGGTTATGCCCCATATGTGGCGAGAAAGATTTATAAACTCTTATTGAAATACGATATTTGAGTTTTATTTTATAAAAAGTTGAGATATATTTACCAATGTGATTTTTAAACATGTTTTGGTGATTTTCACCCTGTAATTACATAGAAAGGGATTTATCACTAGATCTCAAGGTCTAACCATCATTTTGTGTTTAAAAAATATGCATTGCAGGTCAGGCTTTACCAAGGGATAAGAAAAAGGGGGAAATGTGATTTTTTTTTCTTTTGCGCTTACGTGGTCATGAAGAACAACATGTTATCTGTTGGGTTTTGGAATACTTGTTTTATATGCAAAAGAACCCATAGAATTTGTGAGAACCCTAGTAACTAGTGTATTATGTGTTATTTTACATGATTTTTTCCATTTAAAACTAGAATTTAGGAAATTGGTTAACATATATTTGATTTATCTAACCTATGATTTAAGGTATTGGTTAACATATATTTGTTTCAATATTTTTATCTCATATTATGAATCAATACATATAAAACAAACAAACCACAAAGGTGGTGTCTGATTGGTTTGATCTTGGCTCCAAAGGTCAAAAGTACCAGGAGGTCCCATGTTCAAATCCAAGGAGAAACAAAAATCCTCTTGTGGCCACGGAGGTTCAAATGCGGTGACTCCGGGCTATCTGGAAAGCAGGTGGTCGTCCTGAAATTAGTCGGCTCGCATAGCGGGTTGGAAATTCAGGTTAATTAAAAAAAACATATGTTAATAAGTTATTTAAATCTTAACTTTAAATGTAAAAAATCATCTGAAACAACAACTTAAAATAACAATTCTTACAATATGTAAAGTTCTCATTTGATTATATCACACACATACATACATAAACATTATTATTCTAAAAAGAACTAGGGGTTGTACGGTTGGTTTTTTATTAAGTCATATATGGATAAAACTGATTATGTTGATTAATCTTTCTATGTAGGTTGAGAGGGTTTTTATTTGGAATAATTTTTTATAGATAGAAGGAGCATGTTATTTAATTGGGAGGGACAAATTTTAAAAAAATCGATTTTTTGTATAAAACCCCAAAACCTTATTGAATAAGTCATTTTTTATATCATTAAGTTACTTATAAACAACCATAAATAAGTATCCGAATAAGTTGTGGTTCTATTAAACTCATTAAGGGGTTGTTTACCTAAATGCTTACCTGGTAAGTGTTTACCGTAAGCAGTCAACACTATAATTTATTTTATTAGGTAAGGTTGTAGTACATCAAAACGTATTTCATGCAACAATTTTCCTGGTAAGTGCTTAGGTAAGAGTCGTTACCCTCACTTACCGAGTAAAACTCTTCATCCTTATCCTCGTTCTTACCAGGTAAGATTGTAAGCCCTTGCCATGTAGGAAAATTATCCAATAAATACTTATCGGATAAATATTTAGTAAACACATTCACTAAAATTTTGTAATTACACAAATACACACATGTCGATAAAGAAATAATGGGAAGAAAAAGTGTTCGCTTAGGTGTTATCTCCTTTTCCATTGGGTGTGAGAGTGGTCACTGTACACGTGGCCTCAGAATCAACCAATCAAAAACGAGGAACACGTGTATAGTCCCCGAGGGCAATTTCGTCCAAACAAATTCTACCAAAATCAGGACTGCCCAACGGCAGTATGTTGCTGGCTTGCTGCTAGAACTCTCTTGAATCTTCCCCACACACACAAACACACACAGTAATAGTGAACATGGATCGAAAACTGGTGTTTAATTTGTTGTTTTGGGGTTCATTGTTATGTTCATCGTGGATACAAACATCGTATTGTGCAAAACCAGCTGGAGTTGCTCGGAAAGATGATATACCTTTCATCAAATGTCAAGTATGCGAGAAGCTTGCGAAGGAATTGTTCGAACAAGTTCGTGATAAACAAGCTAAGATTTCTCCTAAGAAGGTAATTTTTTATCTTTGTTTTCTTATAATCTATCAAAATGTTGCTGTTATCTCGCTAATTCCGGTGATCCAGTTGAGGAGATCGTAATTGAGGATTAAGCGTCTGGCTTTTGGATTTTGTTCGTATTCTTGTATGTGATCTGTTGTTTTTCGTTTGTCAATCGGAATTTGATATCAGATATCAGAGTATGAAGTTATTGAAATTTCGGAGAATGTATGCAATTTGAAGAAGCAAGAAGCTGATTGGATGCTCAAAATTGATATTGTGGAGAAAGGGGATCGATTGGAGGTAATAATTTTTCCCTTGATCTCCATTATTCTTTCCTGCTAATCACATTGGATGAGAAAATTGGCAAGCGATTAGGGTTTACATGAAAATATTGTATGTTTGTAGTACCTATCAGAAAATCAAGATGGCAAGTGATATAGCACTAGAGTTTGGTAGGTTTTCTTTCTCTATGCCATTCAATATTTTCATTTGCATTCCAACTTATGTGATGCCTAATAGAATGAAGAAAAGAATGTGGACCCACAAAACTGAGATCAGAGGATGAGATAGAATGGTATAAAAGCATAGCATTGGTACCAATTGATGCTTCAGAAAGGTATCCTACCTTTTGTTTTGGCCCACTGGCAGCTTGTTTAACATGGTGACATGAGAATATTGACATGTAGGTTTTGAGATTGTAGACATTGAAGTTTGACACTAGGGGCATGTTTGTTAGCAGCTTAATGAGCTTAATGGGACTCACAACTTATTCGGTTAGCTATATATTACTTTTTGGTAGTGGCTTAATGATATAGAAAGTGGCTGTTAGCTAAATATTACTGTTTTGTAGTGGCTTAATGATATAGAAAGTGGCTTATTCAATAAAGCTTATAGGGGTAGCTTTATGCAGAAGCCAAGTTTTTTCCATACATTTCCCTCCCAATTAAAAAAACACATTCCTTCCATCTATGAAAAAACCCTTCAAACAAAAACTTTTGCAATCTATACATACAGACTAATCCACACATATAGCTTTACCCATACAGGATTAATGGAAAACCAACCAAACAACCCCTGAGGATATGTTTTGCAAACTAGCTGATAATAAGATAGTTGTTTGTTGATAAACTAGGTTAAAAACTAGTCATGTTTGGTAAAAACTTAGCTGATAAACTAGGTTAAAAACTAGTCATGTTTGGTAAAACTTAGCTGATAAACTAGATGACAAAGTAAAATGATCTAAAAGGGCATAATTGGAAAAAAATGTATAAAGCTATCTGAAGTAGCTTTTCAAAAGGCTAGCTCGTGGCTTAGAAAATGAGGTTTTCCAGTAAGCTCAAAAACTAAGCTAGCTTATGGTTGCCAAACATGGACTAAATTTGTGTTAGGCTATCCAGCATTTTCATTTTATAGGTCTTATTGTGTGGTATACTGATAATTTAGACACAATTGTGGACAAGATGAGACCCCAAAATAGAGAATGACAAGTGGTGTAAAAGAATGGAATAGCAATTGATACTTTGGTAGGTATCTTACCTTTTGTTTTGGTCCTCTGGCAGCTTGTTGAACAAGACTCTGAAGGGCAATGTGGTTCAGAATGCAAAACCATCGAACGAGCTTGTCAAGAGGTTGCTTTTATTTCCTTTTTACTTCTCTATTTGTTTTCCCTCGATGCATCAGGAAGCTTGGGATGTTTAGTTGTTTTTGTTTTCTTGAGTAAGATTCGTAGAAAATTGGATTTGTGAGCTCCTTATAAACTCAAGGTGTGGGCTAGTAATGGCTTCCACCATGGTTTTAAGTTTAACTAGTCTAGAAGTTATTGGGCTGACCTGCTTCTTTGCCCTGGGGAGTTACAAATGGTATCAAAGCCGATCCTAATACCATCGTACGTTATGAGTCCTTGAGGGGATGTTTGGATTGCCAATTAAGGACAACCAGTCCCGCATGGGCAGAAAGTTGGATTTTTGAGCTCCTTATAAATTCTAAGTTGTGGGCTACCAATATCTTAGCACTTCTTTAGTAATATTCTTGCTGCCTTTTTGGTATACTTTTTTTAATTCGGTTGTTGTTTTAGGTTATAGGATACTATGATACAGATGTCGCGGAGTATATATACAAAAAGAAGCCTCAGATGCATTCATTGAGTAAATTCCTTTGCAAAGATCTTACCAAAGTATGTAATACTAAGCCACCGCCAGTTCCTAAGGTATATTCCTCTATCACTCATAAGCTAGTTTCTATTTGCCGTATATAAATATTATATACTTCCAAAAAAAAACATTTTTTTACTAGAATTTAGGAACATGTTTGACTATTTGTCAGATATCTAAATGTCTTTTACTAACAACAAAATAAAGAAATCTTGTGGCTCCAAATGAACATCATCATTTCTTGTGGCAAATAGTTAATTGTAACTAGAAAACTTCCTAATTATTATAAATTTTGCAACTTGCATAAGGAATCTAGCAGTTGGCATGGATGGAAAGTATTCCTCCTACAATTGGTTAAATCATTGTCAAGTATATTTGTGCAAGCATTATCGCTTTTTTGTTTAACCGTGGGTGTCCAAGCCGGCTTGCGCTCACCTCGATTAATCGTATGGGACCCTGAAGATAAGAAAAATCCCAGAGGCCCTAAGGAGACTTGAACTAGGCCCTAAGGAGACTTGAACTAGTGACATGGGGGGAGCCCTAGGGCCTAACCTTTATTAAGCTAGTCTTCCTTCAATAATCATAAGTACTTTAGACCAATAAAGTTTGTTGAACTCATGGTTTAAAATGTGCTTGAATGATACCACCTAATGGAGTCGAACCTCAAAACAACATAAAGTAATGACTTTGGATTAGTAAAGCTAGAACGATGCAGCCTCATACATATGAAACTAATCATTATTATATCGAAGTAATAATTTTACGATCAAATGCTTTCAAGCTACATAAATGTTTCCTTGTATTTTTCCAGTTCATTTTCAACATGTCCTTTTAGGTCGTTTTACACTATCGTCTAACTTATCAGCTAGTTATTACCATACATGATTAGTGTATCATCTACTTTTTACTAAACATGACTAGTTTATCAGCTACTTGTTTCTAAACATGACTAGTTTATCAGCTAGTTTTTTAGCGAACAACTAGCTTATAAGCGTAAGAGGATTGAAGCCAATAACATGTTATTGATGGGTAAAATTTTAGCCATTTATACAAGCTTAGTGCACAATATTCGCTTCATACTCTTCTGGTTAACATATCAAAAAGCTTCACATTTCATTTATCTATTTATTGTTAAAAATTCAGGGTAGGGAGCCGGGGGAAACATTTGTACCGAAGTCGGCAAAAGAGGCTGAAATGGAAAAGATGTTGAAATCAATGGAGGGTATGCCTGGTGCACCTGGCATGAAAATGTATTCAAGGGAAGATTTGATGAGTGGTAAAAACTTGGACGATGACGATGGTGATGATGAAGACGATGACGAACCATCAATCCCTTCGAATTTGGTAAGAATCTAGGAAATATACCCATGGTTGACAACCATACGCTAGCTTTAGAGTTCTCCAACAGATTCTTTAAAATAGAGAAAATGGAGCTTTTGTTCTCTATTTTGGTCCAACAGAATCTCTATATTCTTCTCTAAAATACATAAAACATGAAAAAACTCCCCAAGTGTATAGAATTCTCTAAAACTTGATATAAGCCAGCTTTAGAGCATCTCCAACAGATTCACTAAAATAGAGAAAATGTAGGTTTTGTTCTTTATTTTGGTCCAACAGATTCTCTAAATTACTGAAAACAAAGAGAATTCTCACCAATAAAATTGAATTATTATTATTTCATATAACGTTTGTTTTAAAAGTGTATTGGGATGATAAAATTATAAAATATTTTAATAATATAATTAATGTTTAAATCTCTAAAATAGAAAATCTTTAAGATTTGAATGTAATTTTTTTTAGAGATTTTATTTTTTGGTTATCTGTTTTAGAGAAATTATAGAGAATCTGTTGGAGATGCTCTTATATTTTTAGCTTATTGTAAAACCCTTGCTTAATTAGGAATAAGTTAACTCATATGTGAGCTTTTTGAAACCCAAAAATGCTTCAAGTAGCGTTCCATAACCCTTCTACAAATTAGTTTTTCAACATGACCTTTCATTTTACATTGTCATCTAGCTTATTAGCTAGTTTTTATTGAACATGACTATTTTATCAGCTACTTTATTAGAGCATCTTCAACAACTATACTAAAATATAGACATTAGAAATTTAGAGTATATTTTTGTTTCAACAGTTATGCTGTAGCGTATGCTAAGATAGAGAAAAGAAGAGAGAGAGAGGGTAAAAATTCTCCAAATTTGGAGAAATCTCTGAAATTCTATATCTAAGAGAGAAATAATATTTAATTGTTTCTCACCAATCCGAGACATTAAAATTAAGTGCTTAAGAGAGAAATGATATTTTATTAAATGTATTGAATATTTTAATAATATAGTTAATGATATTGTTAAAATAGAGTAGTTGTTTGGAGTTGAATGTAATTTTTTTATAGATTTAAACTTTTGATACTCTAATTTGGACAAATTGCATGAAAAAGTAATGTACTTTAACTTGATTCCTATCTTGGGTAACGTACTTTCAAAACTTTCATTTTGGTACCTAAGTTGTAAAGTTTAAACATTTAAGTACCCTAGGAATCGGTTGAAGCATTAACCGGTTATCATGTTGATCTGGTATCCACTCAGTATTATTTGCTGACGTGGTCAGTGACCTGAATTTTTTTAATCTAAAAATTAGTCTTCAACAGGTTACCCCCGGGTACTTAAATGTTTAAAATTTTACTTCTTTGGTACCAAAATGGAAGTTCTAAAAGTACGTTACCCAAAATAAGAATCAAGTTAAAGTACGTTACTTTTCATGCAATTTGCCCCTCCAATTAAGAAAAGTTATAGCATAGCCGTTGGAAATGTTAGCTAACAACTAGTTTTTCAGCTAACAAGTAGCTTATTTATCAGTCAGTTTGTCAAACACAACCTCAGTATCGTCAAATATCATTGATTTGTGGTGAAAACTTCATTTTTTTAACTTCCTGTGATTTGAATAGGGGAAGATTATGAAGGAAAAAGAAAGCATGAAGATGGATTGGAAGCAAAAGGTGAAGAAAGGGGTGATAGATGCTGGTGAAGCAGCAAAGAAACATGCAACTAAAATGGGATTTAGGTTGCAGAAATGGTGGAAAGGAAAGAAGGCAAGTTTCACACAACACAACTCAAACTCTGCCAAAAATGAGCTTTAGAACTTGCTCTTGTTTCCACATAGTTTTTGTAGTCAACCCCTTTTTCTTTTTCTTTTTTTGGGAATTGAGTTGTATAACTTGTGTTTCTTTAGGTTTACATATGAAACATACATTTTTCACAAATATAATATTAACTATTACTTTATATTTTTTTTTATTAACCTGGATATCCAATCCGCTATATGAGCATTCCTTCAAAGAGTATCTTCTAATATTATTACGATATTTAACCTTCTTATTTTTTATTTTTTTGGGAGGTTGAGGCTCAAAATAAATATTTTGAGCGTGAGGGGACCCTGTGATGTGCGAACGACGTGTTCTACGACTTAGGCCGCGCCAAAGGTTGTCTGCGTCTATGATTTAGCATCATATGTGATAGTCTTGATGGATTACAGGATCATATCAACAACACCCTTATCACAGTGATAATACTTGTGAGGGGGCTTAGTGGTGTAAGGGCGACTTGGCCCACAACCAAGATCACATCGAAAATCGTCTGCGTCTCTGATTTAGTATCACAAGTGTATCATATGTGATGGAATAATGGTATCACATGTGATTGTCTATAGTCTAGGGTGTTTTCGCGTTCTCGTGAAATGAAGTGTTCTCGTTTGAACCCTTCTCTCTTTCTCTCTCTCTCTCTCTCTATATATATATATATATATATATAAAATTGTTAATGCATATACATAATGAAATTCATGTGTATCACGTATCTGTTGATTATCGTTGTTCTTAAAATATTTATGGTTCTCATTTGATATTTCTCCTATATCTTTATTTAAAAGAGAAACCAAGAAGAAATCTCTATTTTTTCACTTCATAGTTTGTATCCCACACTGGATCGGGAATGAAAGAGATTAAAATGAGGTGGGTATAAAAAGAAAAATCAACTTTTTTTTCTCAATTTATGATTTACATTCCACATCTGATTACTACAGTTTTAAATTACAATAATTACTTTTGCAGTGTTTGACAAAATCATGTAATAATAAAAACACAGATCTAAAAAGCTCGATTAAGTACAAAATATGTATATCCAAGATAGAGATTACGGCTGCTCATTTTTTATGTCTACAATTTCTCAACTCAAAAGTCGCTCATTTGGGAATTCAAAACAGATGGTGAAGAGTTGAATCCGTCTTCTTCGATGAAGGTGGACCCGTCTTCTTCGAAGGTGGACCCGGAAATCTGTGTTGTACGTTCAAAGATCTTAACACGAATAGGAGCAGGATTTCGTCGAAACTAAGACATATTGTCTCTTTCAACATATGACTCATGATCACCTGATGCCCTCACGTGCACTCGTGGATACACAAAATTCTCGATGAACCTTCCAAAGGCAACACCTGTGTTTCATCAGGCATTTAGCTTCGATGATTGATGTCCCACTTCTTTCAGATGAAGGCATAATTCAATTGGTATGGACACATATTTGACATCATAGATACGTGTCAATAGAGTCCATATCAACTTGAATATACCTGCAATGACAATCCAGAAAAGCAAATTCAAGAGATCAGCAAAACTTCATGGATATACAGTAATAAAAATCTACATATTTTACCAGAATACAATGAACAAAAATCAGATATAATACCTCATTGTACATACTGACCTTCGAATAGCCATTGGTCCACCTTTCGAAATGTTATGAACATTGAAGTTGCGAATTTATTACTTCTCATGGTATCGGAAATAAGGGAACTTGCATAGATTCTATAAGATCCCCATATGATATCAGGTGAGTAATAGATATATGAACAAAACGAGATTAACGAATATACCAAGACTTAAGAGAACTTACCGCAAATAACCCATAGTTTCCTCCATGGGAAAGACTAGAATCTTGCTTGACGACTGAATGTCGGCAATAAGATCTATTTACTCTTGGAACTTAATCATTAATACATCAAAAGTAATAACGCTTCACCGTGTGGAGATCATAGACACATGAACCTCGTTTTATGAGTTCGATTTCAGCATACATAACTCTGTTCGTCCGATGTGGGATGGATCGTCATCTTAACTACAAAGACAAAGATGCACGATTGTACATAACACAAGCATCTGTCTACAATAATAACAAATTATAATATAATATGTCACCTGATGGAAAGCCTCCAACTAAAAATGCGCCCCTTGACAATAACTTTCGAATAGATAATACTGAAACTAAGAATATGGTAGACACAGACTCTTGCTCAGATAATATTTCCATATCAGTATTTTTTTTTTCTCGTGGGATTAAATAAAACGCTCCGTGTATATCTTAACATAACATTGAGATCTTTGTAATTTTTCTCTACGTCCTCGTATAAATTTATCATAATTTGACTTGTATCTTATGATCAGTTTAACGATATTTATTTCGTCGAGTTCAATTTGTTTGTCTTAGAAAAAACTAACACCTAAAGCGGTCCGTCGCAAATTAGTGGCGAAAAATATATCAATGGGCCAATGCAAACACACAATAGTTGGGCCAAAAAAAATGATAGGATTGGGCTTTGAAGTAACTAAATAATATTTGTAGGCCCATGTTAAATTAAACATCAACCTAAAAGTAATCAAGTTAAATAATTAAATGAAACAAAAAGTCCAATTGAGGGGTGTTTGGGATTGCTTATTTAAAGTGCTTATTAACTTATTTCGATGTGTACTGGTAATAAGAAGTTTTTAGTGTTTGGATGGAGAAAAAAAAGGAAATGCTTATACCGGTTTGGCACCGGTAATAAGGAGTTTTTAATGAGTTACTTTATTATAACTTATTCCCGATGTGGTACCGACAATAAGAAGTTTTAGTGTTTGGATGAGAAAAGAAAATGACGTCTCTATCTATTTTATGAGATTATCCGGTGTGGTACCGCCATAAGTTAATCCAAACATTTTTCATAAAACTCCAGTGTACCATCATATAAGTTAATAAGCACTTTTATAAAAACGCATTAGTTGTTTTAAATAAGCAATCTCAAACATCCCTGAATAAATGAATTGGTCTACTTGAGTTAAATTCATTATTAACTAATAAGCCAAATTTTGTTTCAAAATTAATAGGCATATTTTCAATTTAAATTAAAGGCCTAATTTTATATTTTTATTTTAAAATTTAATAGGCCTATTTTCAATATATATATATTGTTTCATATAATATTTTCTTTATGAAGTTATTTCATATATGGTTATGAAATTGTTTCATATAATACTTAATGAAATTTTAATGAAACTGTTTCATGTATTTCTCTAAAATTAAAATAATGAAGATGATAATATCCATAATTAACGTCCTCCACAATAATACTTAATAGAGGTGGGGATGAGCATGGCCGTCAATGACAATGTTAAATGTGAGATTTTGAACAGGCCCCCTGAAATTTAGGGGACCAAAATTTACCTGTGCTTAGGGTGTAAACTATAGAAGAGAATGTTTAGGTTCAAATTATTAATCGTTTGATTTTAGGTTCAAATTATCAATGGTTTAGGTTGATTTTCAAATTGTTAATCGTTTAGGTTTGACCTGTAACATCTCATGACAACCTTGCTAGATATTATCTGTTTCACACATCTAGACTCACGGTTTTAAAACACGTCTGATAGAGGAGATATCAAGTCCCTTATAAGGCAACTTTTTTACCCTCTACAACCAATGTGGGATCTTATAATCCACCCCCGTTGGGAGCCTAACGTCCTCGCTAGCACACTAGTTTGGCTTTGATATCATATATAACATCGCAAGTCAATCGTACCAGATGTTGTTCGCTTTGTCCCACACCTAAACTTATGGTTTCAAAACGCGCATGATAGAGGAGGTATCGAGTCTTCTATAAGGCAACTTTTGTTCCCCTCCCCAACCAATGTGGGATCTTACATAGCCCATTTTTGTTCTTAATATATATTCTATGTTATCTCAGTGATGTAATGTAATAAAAAAAAATCTTGAAATTAAATGTTTAGATGAGAGAAATGATATTGTATTAAATATATAAAATATTTTAATAATATAATTAATGGTATAACCTCTAAAATGGAAAAGTTGTTGGAGTTATGGAGATTCTTTTTAAAGATATTGAGTTTTGATTCTCCATTTTGAAGATCTTTTTGGAGAATCCGTTGGAGATGCTCTTATAGAATTACCATCAGAAAAAGTTCTTATAAATCAGTTATATTTTGGAGTTTTTATACAAGAGATTTGGTTCTTTTCTTAAATTTTGTATGAAATAACATTTTGTTAGGGGCTTTTTATCTGAATGCTTATCTGGTAAGTGTTTATCGTTAGAAGTCAATACTATAATTTATATTCTAAGTAAGATTGTAGTATATCAAAATGGTATCGTATGCAACAATATATGTATATGGTAAGCACTTAACCGGGTCAGAGTCGTCACCCTCACTTACCGGGTAAAACTCTCTATCCTTATCATCGCTCTTACTAGGTAAGATTCTTAGGTCTTGCCATGTTCATCCAGTGAGCAAAATTGCCCGATAAGCACCTATCGGGTAAGCGTTTAGTAAACGGCCTCTTAGTTTTTGTATTACCGATCTTGAAATAATAAATGGACCAACAAAATGAGGTTATTGTTAGAGTATCTCCAATGGATTCTCTAATTCTTTTGTCAACAATGGAGATTAAAACATCAAAGGGCCTTTGGCTTAATGGTATGTGAGTCTTTGGCTTTCTAGCATGTCAGAGGTTCAAACCTCACCAAAAATGAGAAGGATGTATGAGTTTATTTGTTCTATTTGTTGTATATAACTATTATATACTTCAAAAAAATGGAGATTAAAACTCAAAATCTTAAAATAATAATAATAATAACACAAACAGATTCTCTATTTTTGAGATTACAATACTGATTAAAATATTTTTTTTATATGTAATAAAATATTATTTCATAGAAGATTTAACATCACGGTTTCGAAATGACAAAAATACAATAAAAAATTGTTTCTCTTTCATTGTAATCATTTTAGAAAATTCTTCAAATTTAAAGAATTTCACAATCATACTTTTTCTATTTTCGAGAATCTATTGAAACAAAAATTTATCCAAAATCTCCAAATTTTCAAGAATTTGTTGGAGATGCTTTTAGAACATATCCAACAACTTACTAAAGGGCATTTGGCCTAACGGTATCTGAGTCTCTTGCCTCCTAGGAGCTCCGGGGTTCAAACTTTATCAACGGTGAGGAGGGTGTGTGAGTTTTTTGGTTGTATTTGCCGTATATAAAAAAATATATTATATACTTAAAAAAACATATCCAACAACTTTTCTATAATTAAAAATGGAGTTTTGCTTTATATTTTGCTCTAATAAATTCTTTATAGTATTAAACTTTAAATATAGAGAATTCTTTAAAACTCTCTGGCGAGAAGAAAGAAATATTATTTTAATACCTTCCACTAATGAAATTAATTCTTAGTTTTTTATATAATTTTTTTAAAAATGTACTGAAATGATAAAGTTATAAAATATTTTAATAGTACAGTTGATGTTGAAAACTATTTAAAATAGAGAATCTATTAGAGTTGAATGTAACATATTTTGACTTTTAATCTCTATTTTAAAAAAATTATTAATAATATGTTAAAAATACTTCTAAACAGTATAATTGTAAAGTTTTATAGCAGTTTTTAATTTGCTAAGTTGACAATTATATAATTCACTATAAATGCGGTGACTCCGGACTATCTGCAAAACAGGTGGTCGTCCTGAGATTAGTCGGCTCGCATAACGGGTTGGATATCCAGGTTAATCAATATATATATATATATATATATATATATAATTCACTACATTATTAATATTTATAGTCATATTTATTTAAATTGATTAATCAATTTAGTAAATAAAATTTTATTATAATACTATAATATTAATTTTAGAAAAGTGGAACATTCTTTTGAAAATTTAAAAAAAATATGATAACCTTAAGAACTTGTGTATCATGTGTTATTTTATATCATTTTTTTCCATCTAAGACTAGTATATAGAATAAAGGTAAATTGCATAAAAAGTAAAGTACTTTAACTTGATTCCTATTTTGGATAGTGTACTTTCAAAACTTCCATTTTGATATATAAGACGTAAAGTTTTAAACATTTAAGTACCCGGGGAACCGGTTTAAGACTAATTTTAGATTAAAAAATTCATGTCACTAACCACGTCGATCAATAATACCGAGTTGGATATCACATCACTCGTCACATCAGCATGATAACCGGTTACTGTTTCAATCTGTTACCCGGGTACTTAAATATTTAAAACTTTACATCTTAAGTATCAAAATAGAAGAATCAAGTTAAAGTATGTTACTTTTCCATGCAATATGCTCATAGAATAATGATTAACATATATTTGTTTAACGATATGTGTGTTTCACATGTACTTGGTTCACAACGTGTTTATGAAACAAAAAATACATGTAAAAAAGTTTCAGATTGTGAACCGAATACATATATAGAAGTACATTAAGAAATAAATATATGTTAATCAGTACATTAAGTACCATACTTAAACGGAAAAAAATCATGTAAAACAAAACCTTAAGATAAGAGTTTTCATATATATCACAAATTTTAAAATTTTCAAATGATTAAAACCTCATTCTAATCTATACTGTATTATAAAACATTTGACAAAAACTCTTAAAAACCATTTTTATGCACAAAGTACTGTATATTGATGCATATTACTTAAAATTCAAGATTACAAGTAAATGATGTATAAGTACAACTTATTAAAGTTCGATGTTTGAATTTGTATAACTAACTGCGGATAAACATAATCAAATAGAGGATAAACATCTCATTTTAAAATATAAAAAATCTAAAATATAATTAGAATAATTATTGAGTTCTAATAAAATAAGTAATTATTATCTTTATAAGAAAATTATATTATTAAACCAAATATAAATCATTATTGAACTTAAATTAAATTATAATAAAAAAATTGAACTAAAAAATTACACAAAAAATAAGAATTTTAAATAGTTAATTTGATACTAATATCGAATATTTTTGTCATTTTTTAATGATATTTTTAAATTTATATTTTATTCAAAAATAAAAACATTATCGCTTTTTGAGAATCATATAAGACCATACTATAACATCTATTGAGATAAAAAATAAAATAAAAAATAAAATTCAAGATATATTTCACTATATTATACAAATACTATTCTAGTAATATTATAACATAAAGTCACACAGATAATTAAAAAATAAAAAAAAACGGTTTTTACTTTCATTAAAAAAAGGAAATAATACTAAAGGAAAGTAGTTGAATATGGATTCCGAATCCTATATATATCACCATAAACCCGTCTTCACTCCTCAATTCCATCCTTCTTCTTCTTCTTCCCCATTCAATCAAACCCTGACACAATATCGTTCAACCAGTTCGTAATCATGTCCAAGAAGATGCTTACTTTCATGTCAAAGGATAAACAGCAATTCACCATTGAAGAAGAATTTGCAGTCCAATCGGTCACCATTAGAAACATGGTGGAGGAAGATTGTGCATCGTCTGTTATCCCTCTCCCTAACGTTCATTCCGAAACCTTAACCCTAGTGATTGAATACCTCAATAAACAGGCATCGGTTGCAGAGAATGATCTGAAAAAGTTTGTTGATGAAAAACAGATTTCGACGTTGTTGGATCTGGCTAAGGCCGCTTCTTATCTTGACATCAAAGGATTGATGGATTTGGCTTGTGAGAAACTGGCGGATCTGATCAAGGACATGACGGTGGAAGAGCTTCGAGAGATTTTTCAAATCGAGAATGATTTTACACCTGAAGAAGAACAAGCTCTTCGTGCTGAATTCCCTTGGGCTTTCGAAGTATAGATTCAGAATATATATTCTACTCCGCCGTAAGTAGTCGTTCCTCCGCCGTTAGTGCAATCATGGACATTTGATGTTTCTGTTGAATTTTTATACGGCGAGTTTTTGTTTTCCTTTTTCTGAAATAACAAATCTAATACATATAATTCTGCGATTCTGATTGGTTTTCTGATCAACGATTGATCCAATTCCAATAACAGGGATTCGGTATGTTATCAATGAGCCTAATTAATGGTAGATTTGATTGAGAATTCTAATGGCGAAAACCGTTTTGATCGATTAAATGCATTCCTCTAAACTTTCGGATTGTTTGTTGGCTAACTTTTAGCCTTCCGATTGTTGATTGCAAAGTATATTGGTATAGATAGATCTGGAACAACAGCATTGTGGGATATACAGAATTTTATCCCGCATTGTGCATGCAGTTTGGCTGGAGCATCTCGAACATATTTTATATAAAGGAAAAAATAAAGAATTTATTTATTCCGGTGTGACACCGATAATAAGTATTTTTGAGTGTTTGGATAAACAACTTATATCGGTGTCAAACCCATAATAAGTAGTTTTTAAAAAAGTTAAACATTTCTGACTTATAATAAGTTGATAATTACTTTTATAGAAAAATATAAAATTCAAGATTACAAGTAAATTATGCATAAGTACAACTTATTAAAGCTCCATATCTGAATTCGAGTAACTAATTGCAGATAAACATAATCAAATATAAGATAAACATTTCATTTTAAATATAAAATATCTAAAATATAATTAAGATAATCAATGACTTCTAACAAAATCTTTAATTATTATCTTTACAAAAATTATATTATTAAACCAAAAATAAAAAATGTATTAAAGAAATACACAAAAAATAAGAAATTTTAAATATTTAGTTTGGTACTAATATCAATATTTTCTTTTCAATTTTTATGATATATCTTCGTATTTATATTTTATTCAAAAATAAAAACATTATCGTTTTCTCAAAACCACATAAAATTGTATTATAACATCGACTGAGACAAAAAAAATGAAATATTAAAATCGAGATATATCTCACTACATTGTACGAGTATTCTTCTAATGATTAATTAATGCATTTTGTAGATGGATGTGAACTTCTTTATCCTTGATTTATCTATATTGAGCACGAAATTTTTGGAATCATCCATTATCATCCACCGTTGTTTTGATCTTTGTTGTTGGCACTTCTTTTGCAAGTTCAATTGCTCGATCACAATCTTATTCACCATCTATTACAATGTTGCAACATCTCCAACAGATTCTCTAAAATGGAAAGTCAAAAATCAAAATCTTCAAAAATAATATTATATACATCTCGAACAAATTCTTCATTTTAGAGATTAAAACACCAGTTATATTATAAAAATATTCAATACATTTAATAAATTTTTTTTATCTATCTCTCCTAGATATTTAATTTCAAATACTCTTATTGGTGGGAATAATAAAATATTATTTGTCACTCATATTTTCTTATTTATCCTATTTTCTCCATTTTGGAAAAGTATTTGGAGAATATATTGAAGCAAAACAATTTCTAAATTTTTCTTTTTGAATTATATAATATTTATATATGACGAATAGAACAAATAAACTTACACACTCCTCATAATATTTATATATGGCGAATAGAACAAATAAACTTACACATTATTCTCATCTTTGGTGAGATTTGAACCCCTGATCTTCTAGGAGGCCAAAGACTCATATACCGCTAAGTCAAAAACTATTTGGTTTTTAAAATTTTCATTTTCTCTATTTTAAAGAAAATTTGTTGCAAATATTGTTATATAAATAATGCATTAGCCATTATTTCATGTAGTAATTTCTTTCCCCAAAATTATTCTTTTTACAAGCTTCTTGTTGCATATCATTATATTTTTTCATTTATAACATGTTTCTTTCATCTTATTGTAATATATATATATATATAGAGGAGTGATCATATGAAAACCGCCTTCATTTGTGTAAACCGTGCAAACCACCTTCATCAGTCGATTTCATTGTTTAATCTTATGAAA